AAAGACCAGAAAAGCAGTCGGTGGGAACCACGTAGGCTCCGTCTGGTGCCGCGTCCCGGCGCGCGGATCACGGGACGGCGCGGAGGAGCGAGGGGGATGCTTTCGTGGCGTGGGCCAGGCACCACGTTGCAGTGACTCCGGCCGAGTGGGTAGCTCTACCCGAAGGCAGCAGCACCGGGCTGAAGACCTTTCTTTGGTGCTTTCCCCTCCAAGGTTTCCAAACAAACAGCCCCAAATGCAGGCTTGCAACGCTGCTGCCCCTTAATTATTCCCGCTATAGGTAAAGGGTGAGCGTGCTACGGCTGGTGCAACCGGGGCGCTCAAGGCGTCTTTCTGCCCTGGTGCCCCACCGGGACCCTCAGCGCTGGGCAGAAGGGGTCATCAGCCCGGGCTTGGCTCCAAGGACCTGAGCGCCAGGAGGGCTGCTGGGTCTCGGCGTGCCCTTGGTGGGACGGCGGTTGCCCCAGCGGAGATGGAGATTCCTCATTTATTTAACAATAACCCCAAGGCTTTCTCGGGCGGATGGGGTGAGTTTCCCTTAAGCCCGGCGGTCCCAGCTGCTCTGCGCGGCTCTCCGTGTTGTCGCGGCTCGCTTCCTGCGGGTTTCCCGTGGCGTACGGTCTCTCGGGAAAATTCCCACCTCCTCCGCCGCTGCGTTTAAGGGACTACCTTAATCAAACGACGTGCCCGTCGGCTGCGGGATGGCCGAACTGCAGCGGCGAAGCGGCCCTGCGTGCCCCGAGCAGCGTCTCCGCGGGGCAGGCGACCCGCCGCCCTTCCCTGCTCCCCTCCGCAGCTGCGGACCGGAACAGCAGCTGCTTAAACGCGCACGAAGCTTCAGAAACACCCAAGCGAGCGCTAAACTTTCCCGAGGTGGCTGAGTAATCTTGTTTGCGCTCGAACTTCAGGCCCCCGGTTGCCCAAGCGGAGGCTATTGCCTCTTTCAACAGAGTTCAAAAAGCCCAAGAATTTTTTATAAATAGCTCACATCCTCTTGATAACGAGGCGGCTGCTATTTATTGCCCACTTCCCCGCAGACAGACAGGTCGGAGTATTTAAAAATCGCACTTCCCATGAAATCCAGAGGAACTTGGTTTTTCGGGTTCCTACAATTGTTTGTCGGTCTGGGTTTCCGCTGCAGGTTACAGCATGTGGCCGAGCTAATCCTGGAGAGGAGCCGGCCAAGGGGCTGCCAAGAGGGACTGCTGCCTCCGCGCAGTCATTCCCCGCGTTTTCCGCTTGCTTCCTTGGGGCCAAGGGAGAAGCTCATCGCTTCTCAGCGGCCTGGGGTCTTTCCAACTCCTTTTTTTCAATCTCAGGGCTTTCCAACTTTTTTTTTTTTTTTAAAATCTCGGAGCGCTCTCCGGCCTCGCCGTACCTCCTGCCCACGCAGGGCTCGGGCGGCAGAAAGCCTCTCATCCCAGGTCTAGCAGCTGCTGGGGTAGGACGGCCGCACTGAGGAGGTGAAGTCAGCCGTCTCCTTCACAGCTCAGAGCGGCGCGCTCCCTTGCGCGAGGCCTTTGCGGTGCCGAAGGCGGCCAGGCGCGCCAGCGCTGTAATTAAAACGAGGGGCTGCGGGGCAGAGTGTCCCAGCTTCACGCGCCAGGAAGAATGTGACGTTTCTGATTAGGCAAAACCAGCTACGTAACGGCGTAGCATAATCACAAACGCACCTAGGGTTGAGCGGCGCTTGGTTTTAGGATTTATTCATTAGAATTTCTCCATGCAGAAACTGCTATTTATTCCTTGTTGTGAGGGGGGAACAACGCCACCGACCGCGGCCGGGCTGCGAGGCGAAACGGGTGAGAA